GGGTTAAAAACCACAGTAGTGGACAGTCTCACGATCCTCCTGCTCCACTGTGATCTGGTCAGGGAAGGCTGTTGCCCACCACCAAGCTGGGCAGAGTTCCTGACCCAAAGGGGTCAAGAGCTACACTCCCACAGCTACTGAAAGAAAGGGCCCCGAATTGTCAATGAGGAGGGAACCGAGCACCCTGGGGCACCCCCCCTTCCCAGGGAGCATCTCCGTGGATACCACACAAAGCTGGTGTTATGTCAAAGGGCATAATCTATACACTGGATCCTCACAAGAAAGGGGTTAATCTAGAAAGCAGAGTCTACAAAGGGGAAAATAGACAAGGTAAGTAATCTGCAGAGTGAGCAACCCCGACAAATTAATCCACAAACTGGATAATCCACAAACAGGATAATCTATTGAGTAATCTACACAGCTGTAATAAACAAAGTAGAAATCTGCAGTGGTCATTGCAGAACGAAGCCCAAAGGCCCTCTAGTCCCCATATAGCCCCCTCCCATTCCCAAGGCTCCGCTGCCTTCTATGGTCCAGCCCTGCTCATTACTCACTCCGCCTCTGTCTCTTCCCCTTGATCCCCCGGCTGCCAGCAGTAAGATGCATCCAGCTCAGAACCAGGGCCACCACACACAGCCCAAGCCGCATAGTCACTCGCCAGCTCCAGGCCCCTGGTAGGAGGGGTGGTCTCTGGGGCAGGGCTCTTGCTAACGCCTCTGGGGCTGGGTCAGCAGCAGGAGGCCCAGGCCTGGGCCCTGTCCCAAATCCACCATAATCTCAGCTGGGGACAGAGAGGGTGTGGGGAGCCCACTTCTCCATCAGCCCATAAGGAAGTCCAGAGAGCTTTCCTCAAAGGCACCTGGGAGTGTCACATGGGAGAACACGTTGTCACTTCAGCAGGGACACCTCCAAAACCCAACCTGTTGGGGGAGGAGAGAGAAGGATTAATTCTGGGGTACCATGGAGTCCTCCCAACCTGTGCCTCTTATACCCCCATGTGGTCTCCTGCCCAGGAGGCTGTAAGAACTCAGAATGTTTGGACGTTACAAGTTGCCCACCTGGTACCCCCGTGAAAGAAATCTACTTCCTTTTCCTATCTTGCAGAATTCCCTAACCTGGGACTAGAGCTGGCAACCCAAGCAGCTGGAATAGGGTAGATCCTCCAACCAGACTTGTGGATAATTGGGAACCAGCTGGCCCCTGCTCAGTATTGGCCAGCTCTAACAGGAAGTTCTTCTTAGGTCTACCCTACAGACCTCATGCTGCAGTAATATCTTGTCTCTTGATGAGGAGTTCTCTCTGTCCTTCTATTCCCTTCTATTCTCTCAGCTTTCTCTTCCCGGTGCTGAGTCACCCCTGTGCCTTTCACCTGTCCTGGAGCTAGAGCAGTGGCCCCCGACAAGCTGGCAGACTCTGCATGGCCCTCTGGGCTTGGCGGGAGAAAAGGAAGTAAGGCTTCCCCGGCCACAGAAACTCTGACACAGCAGGCCCGGCGGGCCTGGCCTTTGTGAGAGGATAAAAGAGGCAGCTATGCCCGCCCTGGCCAGAGACACAGAGAATGGGGATAATCCCCCAGCCCAGTGAGAGCCAGGTCTCTGGACCGCTTGCCTGGTGATGGGGGCAGGGGGAGCTGGTCCCTCCCCAGCAAAATGTGTCTGGGAAGTTGGAGCCCAACCTGGGAGTCTGAGGATGAAATCCACTGCAGTCTCACAGGCTTGAACCCTCCCAACACACTCACAGCAAAGGGCAGCCCAGGCATTGTCCCACACCAGTCCACCTTCACGCAGGGACAGGAGAGAACAGTGAGACTTCAGGAAGCTTTGTAGATGCTAGGGACGCTTTGCCCTCCCATCCACTGGCCGGATGCCTTTGGACAAGTCACTTAACCTTTCTGAAATTCAGTCTCCTCATCTATAAAATAAGGATAAATATGCCTATTTCATAGGACTGCTCTGAGAATTGGCCGAGTTTTGGCTTATGAATGAGAAATCTGAATTGCTGGAGTGAAGGTGCCCCTCCCAGCCACTGTCCCAATGCTCTCCCCCTTAGCTTTTCAGGGAGGCCCCAGGAGAGCCCACCTGCATGGGAGATAAATCATTATCCCACAGGGGGCTTAGCACCTCCCTCCTCAGCCTCTCCCACCAGCTTTGAAGGCCAGACACACTCAAGTGGTTAAGCTGCCTGTGAGAAGTGTTTACATGAGGCTGATGAATCCCACCTGGCACTGAGGCCTGAGCCAGTGGAGATGCCCCCAGCCACCCCCAATGCCCCATCAACTGCCATCCCCTGCCTGCCCCTCCAGTACTCCCTGTGTGACCTGCCAAAGTCTTCTCATACTCCCCAGCCCCCACTACACACTTCCATCGCCTTGAGTTTATCAAATTGGAGTCTTCAGCCAGTATATAGTCTCAGAGGTTGGCCATAGAGCATAATGGTCAAGGGCATAAATTTCAGAGTCAGACTGCCTGCCTTCAAATGTTGGCTCTCCTACTTATTAGCTGTTACCTTGGGCTAGCTGCTTAGCTGGTCAAAACCTCGATTTCCTTATCTATAAGAGGGTTGTGTTTTTTTTATAGCTTAAATGAGTTAATACATGAAACTGCTTAGAATAGTGCCTGGCGCATAGTGAGGACTCAATAATATTCATTGTATTTTCTATGATCGAGACTTCATTTTGTGGTTACATTCCATTGGTCATCTAAGAAACAATATAAACAGTTTTTATATCATCTAGATACCAATCTTAACACTGAGCACTGTTACGCAATTTCTGTATTTGCATTTATCTCTATCACGGATCACCTTGGTTCCAAAGTGATCACTCAGAGTGATAAGTTTAACCTTTAATTGCAGCAGTTCTCAAACTGAGGTTGAGGACCCCAAACAAATATATTTTAAGGGTGTTGTCAGTCCTTACACTGGACAGACCCTAGAGGAGAAGACCACATCAGACACACATGGTGTTAAATGCTGGGTCTGCGAGATTTTAGTCTCACTGTGGGATCAGTACTCCTGGGGTCCTTGATGCAGAAAAGGTCTCCTATGCATCTCTGCATTCCCGGTACTTTCCGGGCATGGAGCCTGGCACTTCAGGGTTAGTGCTTGGCAAAAGTTAGTTCCCTTCTTCTCCCTTCTTTGAATTCCCTCTAATTCTCCCTACCCTCACCTCCATCCTTCCAGTCTTAGCTTTCAGCCCAACACTTGCCATGCTCACCCAGTCCTGGGCCACTCCCACCTGAAGCACCATCAAACCAGGATCTCACCTGGGAAATGGGGAGGAGGATCCAAATCTGAATGTCACTGGAGCAAGTGACACTAGCTTCTCTCACCCATCACATATATATATTCAACTCTGAAAAGGACCTAAGAGTTTATTGTACCGGGGTTACAAGCAAAAATAGGAAAGAAACTGGATGTGTGTGAGCATGTGTCTGTGTGGGGGGGGGGGCCGGGGGGGCGGACCAAAGGGTAAATGCCCCATCTAAAGCGAGCGTATGCTGTTCAACTCCAGTTGATTGTTGATAGGTAGAAATAATGGCTCAATATTGGCAGATCTTCAGATTTTTTTGAGTTGAAACTTCAGAATTTTATGTGAAATCTAACTTTAAAAGCTAGCTAGGTCTCAGAGTAGGAACCCTTTAGTACCAAGCCTCCAGCTTGTCCCAGACATTGCTCACCCCACACACACCTGCAGTGGGTGCACACACACGCACACATACTACCATGGGGACTAGGGCTGAGAAAAGAGATAAGTGCTGATGACTTTCTTTTAAGTAGCCTGCCTCATTTCTATTAGTTCCTCTGACTGGTTTCCCTTGCCCCTTGGGCTATATGGCACAAGCGGTTTATTTTTTGAGGCCCATTACTCTGCACAGGCAGAGCAAGTAATGGGAACTGCTGGCAGTAATCAAGATCTCAGGCATCCGTGGGAGTGAGGAAGGGCATTTTGTCTCTGCCAGGGTGGGAGTGAGGGATTCACATTCATCACTGACCTGCACCACCTGCCATGTGCTAGGCCCTCATTTACTCCTCAATAAGGAAAGTAAAATTCTTCCCATTTTATTGGCACTGAGAGGTTAAGGGTCTTGCGTTTACAAACCTAGTCAGCGACCAGCTCGGGACTGGGGATCTGGAGGGCGGGGCAAAGGGCAAGAAGCTGGGGGGTGTGGGGCATGACCCAGCTTGGGGACTACACCCACGGAGGTGGGGAAGGAGCTGGAAGCAGAGGTAAAGTTCAGGCGGGAGACGGAGGAGAGAGGCCGCTCATGCTAGGTGGTCCGGGTAAGGGAAGGGCACAAGCTAGGGAGGGGGATACAGCTGGGGGTGGAGCTGAGGGCGGGGACTCAGTCCCCCCGGAGGGCTGGAATACCTTTCACCTTCTTGCCTGCAACACTATCAGGATAAATTGGTATTCTGTCCGGGGCCGGACACAGACCCAAAAATGTAAACCATCCACATCATTTCTCATTAGTCCTCCCCAAGACCCGCTACGGGTGGAGAGTTTTGGCCGCGGAGTGGGCTGACCGATGGGGGCAGAAGAATTGCTGGGCGGGGGGCAGGACCAAGTGCGTGCCTGCGGGACCTGTAGGAATTAGTGTACACCAGAGTTAAACCCCCGCCCCCCCCCCAACATCAAGGGCAGCAGGAAATGCTCCATCTCGTCCCTCCATCACCGCTCCAAGTGTGCAAATTCTTCCCTCCCCACCATCCCGGAGAGGCCCGACAGGTGCACGGGGAGGGGAGGCGGACCTTAAGTACCCCTGACTGCCCCCCAAAACCCAAGACTACTCTCCAAGTCCGAGAGGCCAGTTTCATAAGAAAACTCTCGCCGCCCAGTGAGCACGCAGAATCCGCCCTTGCCCTTCTGGGAGCCCGTTGCGAACACAGCCCCCACCTCGCCCCAACCAAGCAATGTCATCCGACCCTCAGGGCCAGACCTCGAGGGCCACTGAGCCGCGCCACCTCGCAGCGCAAGGGGGCCGCCGCGCGCGCCCCCTGCCACGTCGGACCCGGGCCGGGTCTGCGGGACTGGGGTGAGAGTAACTAGGGGCCATGGGACTCGGGGGAATCCGAGGCGATGAGACCAGGGATCGAAGCTTCTGGATTGGGGGTGGTGTTGAATAGGGCAAGCGGACTTGGGGAGTTCGGAACTACTAGTGAGAATGATCACCGGGACTGCGGGGTTGGGGGAACCCGCGACAGCAACTGCGGGGGCGGGGGGCCCACTGCCTTGAGGGATGACGCCGGCGTGGGGCCGCAAGACTTGCAGGAGGGCCTCGGAGAAGGGCCTTCTCCCGCCCTCGCTGACCCGAGAGCAGTCAGAAGCCCCCTTCCTCTTGCTGTCTGCCCACCGCACTCGCCTCGGCCAAGCCCCGACGGGAGGGCCCGGCCGCCCCAGGTCCCGGGGAAGGGGGCGCTAGGGAGGAGAACGGGACAGCTTAGGGGCGACTC